GCGGAGAACTGGAGAAGCTCAAGACATCTGGGATTCCCAAGCCGTCTCCGATCCAAGTACTAACCAGGCCCATTCTAAGAGAATCGCTGAAGGTGTGTAAATGATAAGAGGATTTCATGATGTACCACCGTTGATATGTTGGAAGGTCGCATCTGAAAATAACCTAGATGTCAATATGCCATTTATCTGAGCGGAGAACTGGAGAAGCTCAAGACATCTGGGATTCCCAAGCCGTCTCCGATCCAAGTACTAACCAGGCCCAACGTTGCTCGGACTGCATTTCCGAAATCATTCTAAGAGAATCGCTGAAGGTGTGTAAATGATAAGAGGATTTCATGATGTACCACCGTTGATATGTTGGAAGGTCGCATCTGAAAATAACCTAGATGTCAATATGCCATTTATCTGANAACTTGCTAGATCAGACGGGGCGGCGTGCTTTCAACGTGGTATGGCCGTAAGCGACAGCGATGCACTGCATTTCCGTATTCATTCTAAGACAATCGCAGAAGGTGTGTGAATAGGAATAGTGGATGATGATGTACCATCGTTGATATGTTGGAAGGTCCCATTTGAAAATAACCTAGATGTCAATATGCCATTTATCTGATCGCAAAACCGGAAAAGATTACGAAACCTGGGATTCCCAAGCCGTCTCCGATCCAAGTACTAACCAGGCCCAACGTTGCTTGGACTGCATTTCCGAATTCATTCTAAGACAATCGCTGAAGGTGTGTGAATAGGAATAGTGGATGATGATGTACCACCGTTGATATGTTGGAAGGTCCCATTTGAAAATAACCTAGATGTCAATATGCCATTTATCTGATCGCAAAACCGGAAAAGCTTACGACACCTGGGATTCCCAAGCCGTCTCCGATCCAAGTACTAACTAGGGCCAACGTTGCTTAACTTGCCAGATCGGAGGGGATTGCGTGCCTTTAACGTGGTATGGCCGTAAGCGACAGCGATGCACTGCATTTCCGTATTCATTCTAAGAGAATCGCTGAAGGTGTGTAAATGATAAGAGGATTTGATGATGTACCACCGTTGATATGTTGGAAGGTCCCATTTGAAAATAACCTAGATGTCAATACGCCATTTATCTGAGCGCGAACCGGAAAAGCTTGCGACACCTGGGATTCCCAAGCCGTCTCCGATCCAAGTACAAACCAGGCCCAACGTTGCTTAACTTGCCAGATCGGACGGGGTGGCGTGCTTTCAACGTGGTATGGCCGTAAGCGTCAGCGATGCACTGCATTTCCGTATTCATTCTAGGACAAACGTTGACGGTGTGTAAATGATAAGAAGATTTGATGATGTACCACCGTTGTTATGTTGGAAGGTCCCATTGGAAAATAACCTAGATGTCAATATGCCATTTATCTGAGCGCAAAACTGGAAAAGCTTACGACACCTGGGATTCCCAAGCCGTCTCCGATTCAACTACTATCCAGGCCCAACGTTGCTTAACTTGCCAGATCGGACGGGATGGCGTGCTTTCAACGTGGTATGGCCGTAAGCGTCAGCGATGCACTGCATTTCCGTATTCATTCTAGGACAAACGTTGACAGTGTGTAAATGGGAATAGGTGCTGATGGTGTACCGTCGTTGATACTTTGAAAAGTACCATTTGAAATTATCCTAACTGTAAATATGTGAGTTATCTGAACGCGTAACTGGCAAAGCTAGTAGTTGGACCGGAGACGGCTTGAGAGTCCCAGGTGTCGTACGCTGCTCCAGTTTTGCGCTCAGATAACTTAGAGATTAAAAACTAGGTTAATTTCAAATGGGACCTTCCAAACTGTTAACGATGGTACATCATCATACTCTAGTTTCCAAAAAGCTATCGGTAAACGTATGAAACCCGCACTGTTGTTAGTGTGACAATGTATGAAATTCATCAAACGAAAGTAATATCAGCAAAGTTTCCACTGTTAAATTCTGTGCGAATAACGACATCGGTTTAATGCATTATAACGATTTAAACTCACGCTTTCTATTCGCGCTCGAAGGAACGAATATCTCCAAATGCTCTAGTTTTGTCTACCTAGGTCGGGAAATCAACATGTTGAACTACTTAGCTCCAGAGCTGAACAGTAGGAAACGAGCAGCATGAGGAGCTTCCAAGAGCATCGATGATGTTGTGAAGAAAACAAAGAACTCCCGATCCCGTGCCCATCTTTTCGACTCAACGGTACTTCGTACGTTAACGTACGCATCAAATGCCTGGTCGCTGCGTAAACAGAATGAAAGATCACTTAGCGTTATCGAACGCGTTGTGGAAAGGGCGATGCTAGAACTATTCCGTCCCGAACAAGTAAGGGATGGGATCCGAAGCTCCGATTTGCGTCGACGATCAAAAAGCAAACATGCCGTTCTGTACGCCAAGCAGTCGAAGATAAGGTGGGCCGAACACGTAATGCGTATGAATGACAACCGATGGACAAGAGCCGTTAGTGACTGGATTCCTCAGGATGTCGAACGTACTACTGGAAGACTTCTCGTTCGTTGGACAGAGTTTTCCACGAAAAACCTAGAAGAAAGATATGATGCTCGAGAAGTCCCCAGAGCGCGCAGAACCCACTGGTCTACTCTTGCACGCAACAAGGAGAAATGGAAGATTTGCTGGCGCGCTCAAGTCTCTCGACGATCAACGAGACTACGGGTGATACAGGCGAAAGATTTAAACAGATGTTATTGCGAAAATATCAATGTGAAATGAATAATGCTTATACAGGAACATGAATGGCCGTTCCTCATGGTGAATCTCACGGATCCGAGCTGCCTCCACCCAAATGATAGCTTTTTGATAAACAAATACTCTTCCCTTTGACTGGTAAGATAACTGTAAAGTTTTCCTAATTCATTAATGTATACGGAAGCCAGGTTTATGGTTTGGTAGAAGATTTACCAACTTGAGACTATGTTTCTGCCATATGGTGGTGATTAAAGGAAATTACTTTTTCTTAATTGGGTTTTCGGAACGGAATACCTACCTAACTGCTCTTCGGCGTAGAACACCGTTTTGACGGATTATCTCCCGTTGTACGTAACAATCCAAGAACAAGAAACTTCACTAGACTAGGCGACACGGTAAAAAAAAATAAGTGGGTGTGGATGTGATGAACGAATGAAGTGGAAGTCTTTGTGGAAATAGTTTAAGAACAGAAGTTAGACTGCGATATTTTGCACCTGCAATGATTTCACTTCGATGAGGAAGTGTTTTGATCCTATGCTTCATTTAAATGGATCTGCAGTGAATTTCTTCTATGCGGCTGCTTGTTATCGGAGCTTTTCGCTCACATCCTAAACACAACACCTTATGCTGACATGCGTTTATCGTTAGGAGACGTGGCCTAGCTGATAAGCAGCATTCCATGCACCATGCAACCGACGTTCTACTTCCTAGTCCTTTTATATTTTTGTACAGGTAAATTAGCACATGAACTTGAATCTCTTCAGAGCGAATAGCCTAACCCACGAGACTTGTTTGCTATGTGTAGTATTTTTTTAAAAAGAAATAAGTAGGCGTTGCAGCCTACGGAATCCGTATTTAAAGTGTAATTTGTAATCACGTGTGGATCAAAGCTCTTCCAAGTCTTCAACCAATTTCAAATTGGATATTGCAAATGTAAGATATCACATTTCCTGATTTCTGCAAATGTAATATGTTTAAAAACCATGAATCAAGAAATCACTTATTTAGACACTTAAATGACTGCCCTTCATACACTTTTGATGTCCTGTCCTCCACATGTTTCTTACCCTCCTGCTGTCACTAATTTGTAGAGGTGTTTGACTATTTCAAGTAGTAGAGAGGGAGAGGAAGAGCACAGTGGTTAGTGATGCAATACATCAGAAACCAAGTTGCTGATTCGATCGCTTCCCCAACACTCTCCTCCAGTACACGTGGGAACGCCTTAGCTCAGCTTTCTCCAAGATTAAAATGAGAATCGGGTCAACCATCATTTATTACGTTCATGAAGAAGAGGAAGCTCTCATGCCATATCCGAATCTAGGCGCGAAATTTTAGAAGACCATTTTGAACAATAGACGCGTGGATAGCATCGAGTGCAAGAAATCCTGGGATTCGCACAGTAGAGTAATCAGCCGAAGTCAACGGGTTTGACTGAGAATTAAGGGTTTGTCGTCTTATCTTCTCATAGACATACTGAATGCTGTTGATGTGTGTTTTTTGCGAAAATCTCGAAACAGTCTTGCTATTGTGATAGCAAGTCTTCATAACAAGAAGGCTCTTGAATGGAAGCTACCATGCGATCGTCATTCTCCGAAATATTAGGATATGCGACAATCATAAGTTGTTTCTCTAAAGAATACAACGGGTTCGTTGCACTCTAAGGACAGCAGTAAAATGATAAGCAGAGTACAGAAAATGCGTTTGATGTTTATCAAGATTTATCTCAACACAACAAGTACATTAATGACGACGGCTAATTTTCATTGCATAAAGCGTATTTTTTGCCTCAAATAATGAGCTTGGACTACTGGAAGGGAAATTATTAGAGATGCCGTACCAAGCCCTGAGCCCTCCGTCACGTTGAAGAAGCAATACCAGCCTTATCTGAGAAAAGTTTCCTCCGATCAATATGATAGGATGGCGGCTTCTTATGGTGACGCGCTCAAAACCCTTAAGCGTGTTCCACTGAAGAATTCGAGGTAAAGTCACACTCAGCCAACATTCAACAACGTTCATGAAGATAATTGCCTTATGCAGCAACCAAACCACACGCAAATCCGATGACCTTAGTGGCTGACAGGCATTAGACAAGAAAAGTGAAGTTGGACTAAATAAGAAGCCAAATGTGCTTAAGAGGTTGAGAAACCTATGGAAGAGGTTTTATTCCAGCAGTAATCTGTTATAAATAAATTTTCTAAAGTAACTCCCAATTGATTGAATATATCTTTCTACTTCTGTTCAGCAAACACGAGGTGCTATTTTACATCTTTATTTATGCACAAGCTGACGTTTCGGCGGATTTCGCCTTCCTCAGAGCCTTGAAGGGTCAAGTTGACAGCAATCCATTCGGCCAAACACTTCCATAACCAAACAGAGAAAACGCTAAACCAAGATTTCAATCACATTTAGCATAGCTCTGCACACTCACCGCTTCCTATGAGTCTGACCACTGAGTGTGTCGCGTAAAGACCGACCGCACGGAATTCACATGGAAGTATAATGTGCCCCTCCCATCAGAATAACAGGTTTATAAGCTGTCCAATATCACGCGTGGTAACGAGGCATTCCTCCCTGCGGTTCATTTTCGGATTCTTGGAATTAGTCCAGAATGCCTTTAAAGTTTTGCGCGCTTGTGTTCTCGATTCTTGCGCGAGGATCGTAACCCTTACTTCAAAATCTTCTCCGTTATGTTTTTGCGTGCTATGCGTACCTAGTGGAGCACTTAGCTTACGTTTGCCGACTAGGTGTTCTTTTATACGTACGCAGAGTGGTCTACCCGTTTCGCCAACGTATTCGTCCCCGCACGCTTTACAAGAGATCAGATAGACTGTACCCGAACTCATGCAGTCACCGTCTCTACCATTGGGGCAAATTATGCAATTTTGCGTTGCACATAGACGGTCGTATAGGCGGTTACGAACTAGCTGGCACCTTAGATTACTCGGTGGTATTTCGATTATCGTTTCCGAATTTTCTAGACCGGCCCTTCTTAAACAGCGTTTTATAGGTGCATTTACTTCATTTGAAATGAAGGGCAGTATAAACGAGGCATTGTTGTCGCTAGAGTTATCGTTGGGTACCTGTGGTTTCCTCTACACCTATCTCGAGCTACGGTTTCGTAGCCATTAAAAATGGCTATTTGCCGCGCCAAGTTCGTTAAATTTCGTTGGTTTGAGCGCTCGCTATTAGAATTGGGACCGAGTTTCTCACCATCTGAACCCATTTCTAAGGTAACCTTGCGTAGGGTCGCATGTAGTTTACATGAACTTTAAGACAGACTCCGCAAAAAAGCCAGGGATGAGGCGCATTCGCTTTGACACGTTCGTATAGAGGGCATTGACGTCGAAGGGCTCCACCACGTACGCGCTGTTGGGTCGCGCGTTACGTAGACGATCCAGGAACACTTGGGTGTTCGTTAGATGAGCTGAAATGCACTTCAACAACTGAGTATTAGGGTTATTAGGGTTATTAACCACGTTATTCTATCCGTAGGCCCGTCCACGAAGCTCATGATATATCTAACCTTAAATAGCGATGGATCGGTAGACACGAGATCATCGCTGGATACTAACTTATGGGTTTTGATAAGTAAGTACAAGACGGGACATGTTGGTAAGTCAATTTTAACATGAGAGATAACTGATGGTTTTAACCCAGCCGCTCTTGCCACTTTAACCCATTTGTTGTTTAACTTTCGGTATTGAGTTTTAAATTCCTTCTCAGACGACGGACGATAAAGGGAAGCATCTTTAAGGTGCTTTTCCTTTGATATTTTCTATAAATTAAATTTCTATAAATTATAAATTATTATAAATGATATAAATTTCTTGGTGTTTTATTTGGCTTCAAGTTTTCTTAGAACCTTATTATTGAAAAAATTGGGATAGAATTTGAGTTTTCAAGTCAGATATTGTCGCTGAAGAGCGGCAAACCTCCCTTCCTCCCTCGTTCGTCTTTCGAAACATTAACACCGCCGAATAAACGTGAAAAATAGGTTTCTGAGCCCCAGAAAATTGGAGATCTTCAAGAGCACAAAAAGAGAGGTTTCATCTTAATAGTAAGACTTTTAGTATAACATTTTTCTATTTCAGTTAATGACGTTCACTGTAGGCCTTGATATTTTGGTAGGTGCAATCAATTTCGGCACGCGTTAGTCACATATGAGTCAAGCCGGCTCAAACGTGAATTTTTCCTAAATAGAAGGGATATTAAAGAGATAATCGTACTGCAAGTATCGACGACTACTAGAACGCATTTTACATCCGTAGTTTGGACACAAAAGTTTGTTTTCTGTCTCACGAATCCGACAAGTTCCTCTTTAGCTTCCGACTGCATCACAACTTCGATTCACTTGTCAAAAACGGGTAGAAAAGTATAATGCAAAATCACTTTTTGTTTATGATATTGGAAAAGTCGGTTTCCTCATTTCAGTGATTCTAGCTAATCATAGCGCAAAAAAGAGCAACGATGGCATTCGAACGACGTCTCCAGTGAGAGATCGTGAAATGGCAAGGTTAGTAATAGATAGTTTGGCAATGCACAAGGCAAAACCTCATTGTCATAACCTATGCTTTTAAGGAAATGACATTTAGCAGTAATAAGCCGAAAATTATAAAAGTATAACAACCGTGGAAAATTTTTTTGCAAACCTAAAGAGAGTTCCATAGCAATTAAAGAAAGAACTCTCGTTTTAAGACCATTTAACATTTATTTGAACCTTCGACATTACTTGGTAGTGAATCTTGAGGGTAGGTTGGATTGAAGTATTGGAGTACTAAGTCAAATAAAGCTACGAAAACATTGCTTAGATATTGCTTGAAAAGTTTATAATAAATTGGAGACTTCTGATGACTTTCTTAAAATCAGGCTAATTGCGGTTGATTATGCTTTCGAGAGCGAGACCGTTCTATACGACAATATTGAAAATAAGGGAAAAACACCATCGACGCGTTTGGCCGGAAATTTCTCCTTCGACACACTTCATCACGATCTTCATGGTGGGATGTTGGCAAGATTTCGTGTAAGTGACTCTTATCTCCTTTCTTTTTTCTCCTGATTTTTACGTCCAGGATCTCGTGGATGACGGGAAAGCAACGTTTCCTTTTTCGTTGTCCAAAAATGAACCCCAATGCACTTCACGGGAAATACTATATTTAACACGGCCGAACCTATCATTTGCTTCTGGTGGTATTCTATCCGTGCAGCGCAGAGCCACTTATAATTTGCTGCACTCACAAATGACTGTGAACAAGAATCATTGCGGCTCTGAAGGAGGTGAAGAGCTAGAGGCGTTAGCACCAACGTGTTCCAGTAGCAACCTCATGTAAGCTCATCAATGGGACAAAATTACCATTTTCTGAGCTGAAGTGAAAGTCGCTTTCCGATGAACCACTTATTTCGAACCCGCCCCATTTGACTTGAGATTTTAGCCGTAGTAGAATTTTCCCAAAGCTATTTGGTTACTTGCTTCATCTCAATTTCACCATGCAGCTACTTTTTCAAAACGAATCCAGCTAAGCGATTTTTCACAGGCTTTTTCAACGAAACTTCTTGTAGAAGATGGCGCACATTTTTGTCACGGAAACGCTACTTTTTTTGCCAAACAATTCAGTTGGGGTTTCCGGGCTGACAGAAAGAAAAACTGTATTGAGAGAGCTATAAACCTGATTCGCTTTATTGCGACTATTTGCTCAAAATCTGTGCCGGATTTTTGAAAAGTTGCTGAAGAAATAGATCAAAGTTCTGTAGTTTACCTAAGAAACTCGTGCAGATTCTTTGGAGCAAATTTAGCCGAAAATGCGGAACAGTTTAAGTAAAGGTTCATAACTGCAAAAAGTACTGAGCTATTTGCAAAATAACTTTCATTACCCTTTAATGGGACTCACATGTTAGCCGTAGCACCACTGATGTCCTCGTTCTGCCTTTCTTTCAGCCAATCTTTTTGTCCTGAAGGTGCTACCAGCAACTACACGTCAACTCCTTATGGCGCCGTACGTAGCGCGTGAGACCTCGGAAAAGATAGTCACGCTTCGGTCTAGTCTGGAGTCCAAATTCTGCAAATATCTCAGCATCATTGTGGTTGTATTTCACACAATAACCTACCGTGAAGAAAAAATGATCAGTAGATAAAAGTCATGCATAAAGACTTATAGTTTGGCATTAGTTAGTATTATGAAAAAAAACCAGAAAAAAGAGTGGAACAAAAAAATTTTTGGTGAATGAACTAAAGTAAAGGATAAAACCGATAAAGCGTTCGGCGTTGATCACTCCCTCATGAATACGCCATGCATTCAAATCCATCCATAGTAGCATCGTAAAAGCGAAGGAATGTGCATTTACCTATACAGTACCATGCGGTGGCCTATCGACGTGTTAAGTAAATATTTTAACTTCGCAGATAAGTGTGGAACCAATTTGCTGACATTGGAGGAATGGAAGGCTTGGTGAATCCTGGCCCAAAATTCGATCAACGACTACATGTGTCCTATCTTATAGTACACTTCTAAGCACTTCGTTGCATGCGCACTAAAACATTTGTAGTCTTAACTGATTATGCAAAGCTTCTTTTCTAGGGAAGAAAACATCGAATTCCGTTATTGTTTCTTTCAAGATTACAGTTAACATCTTGCAAAACTCGTAATTGCGGTAACGTTCCGGACCTCTACGTCTCTTTCGTTCAAGGTGGAAACAATATCCAAGAAGTTCTGTACGATCCAACGTTAGTTTTCAATCTGTGTTACAGTTTAATGTCCCCACCAAATTCAATAGAATTTTATGCTGTCATTAAAATAAGTTTTAAAAAAATCATGTTCTCAGGATGTTTCCTGGTGACGAACCTAGATGGAATTTTCTCTACGCGATAATCAACGCTATTTACACCCCAGCTGAGAATGGGAAAGGTGATAAACAAGTAGTGGTCAGTTCACCTTTTATATTAGCTAGTTGTAACATGTTTTTTTGCTTGCTTAATAAACGAAGAAGGCATTCGTGACATACTTTAAGTGCTCGTTGTATTGTCAAAGCTCTTATTGCTGAACCTCTAGGATACCGTCTATGGAAGATGTCAAACGTATTTCAGTAGACCGGAAGACAGGCGATTCCGACGACAAATCAGAGATTGTGAGATTAAAGGAGATTTGTAGGTTTCAGAACTTGCCTTAGATTCTTCTCCAAATAGCGGAAACATTTCCGGAGTGATGAATGTTTTCCAGTTCATAGCTCAGCTTTCTCTTTTTTTAAAACTATTTATTCTATCTGTACAGCGTTGATGGAACGTGTGAAATAGAAGATAGAAAAGAGATAGGAATTATTCAAGAAATCAGTACTCATTCAAAGTTTTTGGGCCCCGTCAATAAAAGTTTGTGTAGATTTAACAGTTTCTAAAACACTTTGGAATTGCCATAAGGGGATAAAAGCTAAAAAACTCTCGGAGTAGATCAATCCGTGAGGGATACGTTATGCATTTGACTTCACTAAGCATCGTTGAAGGTGATTGAATGCATATCCGGCCTTCACAATGACTCGCGATGGCTTACCGATATATCGAGCCAATGCTTCTATCCTCCCAGATAAGTCTGGTACCAACTTTCCGACCACGCAGAGGCGGAAGACTTTGTGAGCTACGGGCGAGTGGACCGATCCCATGTGTGTATTGCAGGGCACCTTCCACCACTGCGTCACACGCGCCACGACGTTGAAAGAAAAGTTGAAAATTATTGGAGTCATTTTGCTTTTGATGGATTTTACAGAAAATGAATAGCCATTAAACGGAAATTTCAATCACCGGTAGGTCCAAGAAAAAATCCACTATTAGCCATATACTTTAGAGTCAAAAGATAAACGTAGCGCAAGACTCGATGTGAAATATTCAGGATTCAACGTAGAAAAGTATTTTTGGGGCTTCATCTCAGTTTAAAAACTGAATCATAACCTTTGTTTTAGCAACTACACTCGCATACGAGGAATACAACCGGTGCACTACGAACAAGACGTCTCGTACTTGTAAGAAACTATTACTTTCAAATCACTCAGAAGCAACAAAAAAGCCACCCAGAAACAATAAAGAAAAACAAAGTAAGCCGTGAAAACAGAGATCTAGTCATCTTTTTGTGCAACTTTTTGGATTCACACTTTCTCTCTTGTTCATGGGACGTCATTTTATACCGCTCTATCAGTTATAATGTTGTTAATCATTCAGTGACCCAACTAGTAAAATAGCCATTCTTTCTCACCCTCTAGGGCTGCCTATTGTCCCCACTCTTTTGAAAAGCACAAAGAGCGTTACCGTTTCATTTTTGTGCGAGTGCGTAGCTCTACTGGTGTACAGATGGTACTCGTTTGCTGGAACGGATCTGGAATCTCATCCCAAGTTCTTCCTAATGGCACGATTAGTGATTTTAGTGACCTGAAGGGTGGAATTAACTTATTCGCACTCACATTTATGTATGCTTTCATGTCTAAAAGTGCATGCTGAAGTAGTACAGAAATAGCACCCATTAGGAAAATGTAAGCTATTCATTGGAAATAACAGCTTTCCAGAGCCAAAACATTTGCTCTTGAGCCACGTTTAACACTATGTTAATCTGCTAAACCACTTCACTGTTCGGCTTAGGCTTAGTGGGAGTTGAAATACATTCGCAATGACATAACATTTGAAATTGCTTAAAACTGGGTCAAAATATACATTTAAGAAGTAATGTATTATCTGTTAACAAATTCAAAATACATAACGGTTTTTTAGACAAAACACAAAGGTGGATGCAGATATCATAGTAATCGACGCCGTTGAGTTGCTGACGTTCCGAACTCCATTTGACAATAAATGGGGATTCGCACTGGAAAGCAAGTAAGCAATTAGAAATGTGCCTCACTACGAATATATTATCTATATATATTATCTATTACTAATATTATTATTATTGCTGTTATTATATTATGCTTACTCACCATATATATCACACTATATCAGTTATATTTTATATACCCGGAATATTCGAACTGTACGAACAGAAACGAAAAGTCTCCATTGGGATGGTGATCACCGAGACACGACACTCTGAGGAACACAATCGCAAACAGCTCATTTTCAGCGGCAATCCTTAACCGACATTAGACTCTGGCCAAGCTAGCCTTTGAAGTCTTGACATGTTCAGCGGCTTTCTTCACTATCGGTTGCTAACTTAGTTCGCTAGACCTGCATCTTTTTTGCACTCATGTGATTTGAACTACTCTAAGCGTCACTTTCCCGACACGTGCACAACTTTTACGCTTTGCCTGAATGATGCCCATGTATCCAAATTTTTAACTGTAAAAGAAAACAGGGAGACAAAATTTGGACAGCCACATGGAATTTTACGTCGTTTTCAATGAACATGTAATTTTCCCAATTCGCACTTTCCTAAAACAGTTATAGTGTAGATCTCCTCAAGCATACAAACCTACACCATTTGAAGATATACCTTGTCCTTAGTCTGGATGAGGTATCCAGGAACTGATTCGTTTCTCATTTTTTAATGAACCTTGTATTCTATAGTTCAAATGAAGCTCGGTCTTTCCATAACTACCTTTAAAGTCGCACAACATTTATTACCAGTGCCTAATACTGATCTCGTGAGAATGATATCATCAATAAAGCGAAGGTGGTGTACTTGATCGTCGCCGACTCTCACTCTAATGCTATTCCATTCCAATTTTCGCACTGCGTTCACGGGAACGGTTTCTTTGAAGAAACAGTGCCATATCTTCATAAAATGACTCGGCGCTGATCAATCCCTGAAAGGTGGGCCGTGCAATTTGACTTCATCGAGCATTGTAGAAGTGGTTGAATGCATAGTTGGCGTGTCCAATACTTTTGTTGAACTACAATTTACGAATTGGGTGTTTTTATGTTCGAACACAAGTGTGATATTAATTTTCTCCACTTCGGAGAGCTAGAGTGCTTGGTGAGCCCTATGCTCGAACCATGGTGCAGAGAGTCTCTAACCGCTGTGTTGGTGGTCGTAAGTGGTGTCTACTAACAACGAATATCAGAGTTTTGCTTTGGAGCATAACTTTGTTGCCAACAAATAGAATCGCACAGAGAGAAGTACATCGTCTTTGTTCTTTATAATGCAGGATGTCAGTATTACTACAATAGTGTTACTTTTCAAACTAAGTCACAAGTGCCTTACTCCGTTCAGGATCCACGTCGAAATCACAAATCGTACCATGGACTACGTCGAGCGCCACTGCAGCTCTGAGAAGCAGACGTGCGCAGCATGTGCACGTGAAAAATTTGGAGCCGTGACGGTCGGAGAGAAGCTCTATGAGAAAGTGCTGCTAGGCAAAAAAAATGCTAAGAACAAGGTGATCTTAGATCTCTTCTTCGTTCTCTGTTCATTCCCAAAATACGTTTAAACACAGTGAAACGCGGACTATCTGATAAGCAATTGTTCGTAACTTCTTGTGTTCATTCATATTGCTTATTGCATATAGATTCTTTAACAGGTATTTATTAAGTGTGTATTCCCAACAACTTTAGGCAAATTAAATCTTTTCGTATGAAGCTCCTCAAAGTACTAATATCGAATTGTGCCTTTAGTGATACGCTAGAGTATTACCTTATTCTTTATCCAACCCTTTATTAGCGATCGAAACTTACAACAAGCTTCTTCTACTGCTCCACATGAACATAAATCTGCCGAAAACTTCGAATACCTAGTATTTACGTCTTCCTTAAATCCATAAACACAGTGAATAGCAAGGAATGCCTCAATCGTAAGGTACTCCTAATGAGATACGATAAAACAAAATGTGATGAAAAACGATAGAATATACAGAATACCAATCACTGTGTTCGAAACAGTTTTTCTTCGATTTTCTCCTGAACTTGTGAGCTGCTTAAATATAAACCAACAAAACAATTTAACAAAAATGACACGGCTTCTAGCAATCCTCTTATATGAAAACACTCATCGTGTGTTTTCAAGAGAGACCCTAAGGGAGAACGAACTGTCGCATTGACTGCTCACTTATGAGTTTTTCTCAAAATCGTGGAACATTTTTCGCAATCACTTTAGCCAGCATATAAGTCATCCAAGTCCGCCCAAGTAATTTAAAACAGAAAAGTACAGTTAGAAATTTCAGTTCGCTCAGTTGGTTAAGAACTATCGCAGCCATCTTTACGAAATGGGTGACACCCACACATGTGAAAAGCATTCGGAACTGTTCTCCAACATTGTTCAAGAGTCAAGATACGCCAACGAGCAAGATTGGAAAGCCGTAATCATGGAACCGAACAATGATCCCGTGCTGTGAGTACTGATCTTATGAGTCCCTGAAATATTATTTTTTTACTTCAGTGTTATTGATGTGTATGCAGTGCTGCAGGTAAGAATAACGAGGTGAAGATTGTGTATAGAAGAGGACTCGAGAATAAGAAATGTATACTTGCAACTTTGTGCTCCAACCCTTTACACAACAAATAAATATCTATTTAAATATTTAAAATTTGATAGCTCGTCTTTCATGCGGGTCTCCACTTTCTGCGTAACTATTCGCTGTCGTACATGATCGTTGAAGATTAGTTCCTTCCGAAATGGTCCTTCTAGGGGTTTGCCAAGTGACGGAAAATCCTGTGATTGGTACTTCACTATGGACAGTAGTCGACTGCTGTGGATCGGTGCGTTCGCTTGCACCTCACATCCTTCCAGGTCAACAAAGATTGCCGTGGTGGCACGGAATCTTGTAATTAGTCGATCTATTGCTCTAGGAAAAGGTGAAAAGCCGGATCTTCGTGCTACAAAATTCATTCACCTTGTCACTGCACCCATTTGGTCATCATTAAAAGTGCAAGTCGGCGAATAACACTCAAAAAGACTGCTCTTATTTAGGGATGGAAGTTGTGGACCACTAAGAATAGCTAGCAATTCGAATAAAATTGTGCATGTGTGCACTTTATAGATAAAAATGGGTGCACTACAAAGCCTGCGTAACCGAAATTTTGTAACAACTAGCTGCTAGAGTTAGATAGGGCATTGAGATGAAAACGTTTACTCGGCGTTTTACTTTGCTTTTGTTTTCGATTGCCTCTAAGAGATCGCTTCTCTATCATATATCGCATTTCGGAGGGTCAAGTTAGAGGTATGGTGAGGCTGATTATTTGGTGTCTCAAGATTATCACATTGGCCAAGTCAACTGGATTTAAGGAAAATTTACCTCCTTGAAGCTGTCATTCTACTAAGATGGTTCACTTCTAACGTAATTCTGCCGCGTTTCGGACGACCTGCCTTTCTCCTCATCGTAGCAGACCTTATTAGGATAATGAACTGCCCATTATGGATCTGAGTCTGACTCCACGATTACCTGCTCTTAGATACGACGGTAAACTATCCTATTGAAAAAGTAGGGTTTGCTATTTTTAACGACAGTTTTATTGCAATGCAAGAGACGTAACCACTAATCGATATGACGGAAATTTACTACCAATGCTAAAACAATTTCCCTGAAATCTCCAGTTTAATGGTCATCTGTTAATGGACTGATATTATAATATATTTCATAACACCATTGTGATATTTTGGGAATTAGCATCACCTGTTTATTACATTTGGGCGCAAACAGCGATTTTTACTTCAGCCACGTACTAGGCAATGTGCTCGGTGCCTTGGGCAACTCACTGTCGCTGAAGGTCGCTCGTGAAGTGCTTTTTGTCGAGGATCCTAACTTCATCGATGACTACTTGTTCGGTGCCGCTCACTCCACTAGTTACGACGAGAAGTGGCACAAACAACTTATGGTACGAATATTTTTGGGACGTCGCAAATGGTGTTTTACCATCTTTGACATTTCTTTGAGCGTTTTTGTCTTTCATATTACTGTTGTACGTCTTTACTTAAGTGGCAGACAATTAACGAAGTTTGCGGTATAAATCATAGATCCATTCCTTTTATTTCTTTGACATTTGCACAGAACTCTTGCAAGACCATTCATGAAACTAATAAAATCACTTGTGAGCAGTTCTCACTTGTGTCTATACACTATGGAAGAAAATGCGCACGTGTTACATGTTCTGTAAATGACTTTCAGTATTGGTTGGGTGACATGAAGAATAATGAGGTGCTGTACTGGAAGATAGCGAACACAGTGGCCACAGTCCTAAGGAGAAGGTGCGAACAATCCTCCAGCACGCGAAATTCGTGTCGTCACGGAAAGGTTAAGGTAATGAATTTTTGCATAGCCTTCATTCTGTTGAAAGATTTCTTAAACTAAAGGCTTATTTTCTCTATTTCACCAAACTTCGTATTCATCTACGTTTTTATATAAAAGCACAGAAAACCGGTGCACGTCGGGTGAAGTAGATGGCGTTGAAGGCTAACAATAGCGTTCAGCCATATCTCTGAACATTGAAACAAATAATGAATAGTGAATAATAAATCTTATACAAGTTGCATCGCAAGAATCAAATATTCTTACATTGCTCATCATATGAAATGGACCTACGCTGGCAAAACGTTCATCCATTCCCAATCACGAGCCTGGTCAAGTTGTGCGCAATCGCTCCTAGAACTCAGTTGCTGTTGAGCGCCGTCCAGCTACTGTCTACTGGGCCTACCTAAGTTGTATCCGACACAGCTGCTTTTCGACACCATTCTCTATGTTGTAATTCTCTGTTAATATTAGCCATAAGTGGTTTCCTCAAAGATGGATACGGGACTAGTTGATTTGATGCTCCGCCTCAGCATCGCCATTCTAACATTTTTCTGTCACATGAATAACACGTTTTTAAGCAAGGTGTGCCCGTATGCATGTGTGTCAGCGTTCATGTGTAAGTAAGCACTGTGCAAAAGACAGAATGCACTTCTGTTCTAGAAGAAGTACATCGTCGCTTCTGCACCACAGTTCATCTCCTATCAGGGGAAGGAGGTGGAGCAAGCTCTTAAAAGCCTTACGATTGATTGAACCGAAATTGCTCACGTGAAACGGACTTAAAAAAAATCTTACTGTCATCTGAGGGAAAAATTAATTCCATTATTTGCAATTTCGTTTCGAAACTCCAAAAGTGAATGTGAAAGCGCTCACGGTTCACTGTGCTCAATAACACAGACGGTTGAATAAAGCAAGCAGTTCCTTCAAACGAAACCTATTAGGGTCTAAATAAGCTTGGCTAGGGATATTTTGTGGGACTAGCATAAATTCTATCCACTGTCGTAATGTTCTTTCAGATAGTCGCTAAGTTCATCGACGACATGAGTAGCTCATGTCACACAGAGCAGTGCACTTTGAAAGCCTTACAAGTCCTTCGGAATATTCCCATACCCGCGTTAGTTTGTTCTCTTAGATTTTGCTTTGATCTTTAGAGATCGACAACCGTGGTGAAGAGATACAGAAAGAAACGAAGTTTTCCATAAGAGCATTTGCCTTATCCGGATGGTTTGAGTCAGTTATAGTTTGTACTAAACCTTTTTGCACAGGAATATTTAAGTTGGTTAGGAAATTTTAAAATCGCTGAAAAGTTTTTCTCGTACGCCATACTTTCTTACCTAAATTTTTGTTTATACATGGTCTTTCCTTTAACGAGTTACTTTCTTAAAATGTAAAAGTGAATTTTTTAAAACAAAGCATAAGAAAGAATCGGAATGAAGCTATATGAAAGGAAGAAACTGTACTATAATCATCTGTTGTTTGTCTGTAAAGATCGTTAGAACGAGCTCGTGGATTCTTGTGCTCAAACCACTCCAGTTCTCTGCAAATGGCCGCCTTACAACTAATCAAAGCTGCCAGTTCTTCTCTTTACGACTCAAGAGTACGTTATTTCTGCTTAGAAACCTCACAATTCTATAACACCCACGCCGTTCTGGAATTCCCCCCTTGAATAACAGAACTTTGGGCCGATTCGATTGTTTTATTTTTCCAGGATCGGCGTTGCTTTAATTTTATTTTATTAATTTCGATTAAGTTAAAAGTTAAAATTAGAAAAATTTAAGATTTTAAGTCATTCTAAGGTTTTGAGCAAAGCTGAAATCGTTAACGAACTTGGTAGCAAGATGCACAAGTAGAGATGCACGAGACCAATGAATTATAAAGATTTTTGGAATTTTAAAGAACACATGTTGTTAAAAGGTTTTAAACTATCATGATATTGTGCTCCAAGGCTTTAAAGTTTTTGCGAGGACATGTTTTGAAGAAATTTACTTTTCAGTTTAAAAAAATGGAACCCTATGGAACTATGGCTGTTTATCACCTAGTTTTGCTTTTACTGAAGCGGTTGCTCCATCCAAAAACTGCGAATTTTCAAATGCCTACTTGATTGAAGACATGTCTTATGAAAAGCTGTGAAAGCGGTACTGGAGATGCAGACCTGCATGACTGATATTTGAAATACCAGCTATACTTACACTACAGACTAGGTCTTTCAGCTTTCCAAAGTTCTTATAAAAATTTTTCGCAACGTCTGTCCTCAGCCAACCAGCACCGGAGAATCGCAACTTGCCGTCGACATCCTTGTAAAGTAAGTGGGTTCGTTATTCTTTTCAGTGTTTTATTATATTTTCAAAAATAAAAATTAAGGTCCGTACCTGATCAACAGCATGTGGGGACCATCTTACTGCGCTCGGAGACCACGAATCCAGATGATCACGAAAAATGGCAATATTTCTATAGAGCTGTGAGAAGTAGTAGACAACAAGACGAGCTGGTAGGGCTCTAAATAAATAAATATAGATAATAATGGATAAATAATAAATAAAACTAATAAATGAATAATAGGTAAGAATAATAAATAGGACTAAATATATCTCCCTCATATGAGCGATCTCGAGCCGGTTAGTCGCGAGGCTACGTGACGCGTCCCCAGGTGGCGGATACAGGGTTAACCGCAGGCCGAAAGCGACCTTTGATTCAGTGAGAAACAGTTGGACCCAGGTGATGGACTCTCTGTTTCTGCTGCTCTGACTTGGCACATTCTTTCTGTACTTGCTAGGCCAGGTATTCATGCATGCGTGTGTGGGTGCGTTCTCGCTTATGCGGATAGTATTCTACAAGTCAATTCGGCCAAAAGCCTGCAATCGTGACTGGGAAGTATACGAGAGGCGGTTAGAAGTCGCCTCCAACAAACAAGCTCCATATCCGCTCTGAAAGAGCCTGGCAAGCTACCCCTGAGTATACACAGCCCCCACGTTCAGAGCCCAGCAAGATATAAGTGGGTATCAGAAATGCTAAACACAGTAAAACAAAAACGGGCCTCATTTCCCTGATCCCGGAAGAGCCCCAATTTCGCGGCGTTGGGTAGGGCGAGTAAGGAGAGGCTGCTAAAATCTCAAAGCCAATGGAAGCTGCCTGGATTGCAAAGAACTAAGGTGACGATCTGTACCTACAATGCACGTACACTTGTATCCGAGTCCTTGGTAGAAGACTTGCTCATGCAAGCAAGAAGGATAAAGTACGACGTAATCGGCCTGGCAGAGACGAGACGACGCCGCCTATTCAACGCTATCTATAACACCGGAGAACTGTTCCTCGGAACATGCGACAGTAGAGGAGCCGGCGGCGTCGGCGTTCTCGTCAACACGAGTTTGTCCATGAACATCGATTCATTCGAATATCTTAAAACTTGAATCGGACGTTTACGATTAAAAAGACCATTGATCAATTCCGACTTTGACAATCTTCCTCGTTTACTCGCCGACATCAAACTATAACGAAGAAGAAGTCGAAGCGTTCTATATGGACTTGGAGAAGTTCTACAGAGAAGACCACGCATTCTTCAAGGTCATCATTTGAGATTTCAACGCCATTATTGGACCAAGAAAAACGTCTGAAGAACGTCACATTGGAACCCACGGATTAGAATGGAACGGACAGGATGAGCGGCTGTCTGAGTTTATCGTGGTGAACAAGACCATCCATGGTAACTCGCAATTTCAGAAGCCCTATCCTCAACGCTGGACGTGGGAGTTTCTCAATGGAGAGTAACATAACGAAATAGACCACGTCATTGTAAATAGAAGGTTTTGCCTAACTGAGGCCGCTGCTGTCTCAAAATTCTGCACGGGATCAGACCACCGTCTCCTTCGTGCTAAATTCTATTTCTCGCGGAAAGGAGAAAAAGCCGCTAAATTCAAAAACCGCAGAACCAGAAATACCACAAACTGGGACCTATTCAATTCATCAGCAGGCTGTTAGGGAGATGCCATTGTCGATAACATTGACGACGAATAAGATCGCCTCATTCAACAGTTTCAAGTTAGCACTATGAAAACTAAGAGTTCGAAAGTCACCAAGAAACGTTTGTCTCCAGGAACATTCGAGCTTATACGCCAGCGTGGAATCGCACGAGCTGCAGGCAACCGCGAACTAACGTCCGAACTTGCAAAACTATGCAGACAGGCGATAAAAAAGGTTTTAAAGAGAGAAGAGCAGCAGTAATGGTCTAAGCTGCAAAAGCTGGGAAAAGCATTCGCAAAATCCACCCAAGCTTCGCCAATTACAAGAGTAAAATGATTGCACTCCGGCGCCCAGACGGAACAGTTGCAGCGTCCATAAAGGCAATGGAGAAAATCATTCACGATTACTACTCGGATCTCTTCGATAGCCAACCTTCCCTTATGTTAAATAAAGGATTATGGATATGCTGTACCACCGGTTCTCCCTTCCGTAATCCGACATCCCATTTCGACGGTGAAAAATCGAACAGCACCAGGTCTGGACAGGATAAGACCAGAACACCTGAAGAACCTTCCGCTAATCCTCGTAAACACACTGACTCGGCTCTTCACACGTTGTCCTTTCTGAATTTAAGGTCTCTACTCAGTGGAAGACCATCGAGACCGTGTTACTGTTCACGAAGAGTGATCTACACGATATCTGCAACTATCGCCCAACCTGCTTATTGTCTGTAGTCTACAAACTTTTCACTCTAGTCATCCTAAACAAGATTGATGGAACACTAGACAAAGGACAGCCATGTGAACAAGCAGGGTTTCGAAAAGCATTTAGTGCGATGGACCACATGAACACGGTAACAGGTTCATTGAAGTATCGCGAGAGTACAAAAGACCGCTCTGTCTCACTTTAACGATTTACAGAAGGCCTTTGATTCACTTGAGAAAGAAGCAGTCTTGGACGCCCTTAAAAATTAAGGAGTCGATACTCCTTACATAAAGATTCTTCGTGAGCTGTACAAAAATTTCACAAAGATATCACCATTTTACAACGATATTAACATTGACGTCAAAAGAGGAGTTAGGCAAGGCGATACCATCTCGCCAAAATTACTTACGGTCACCCTCCATAACGTCATGCGAACATTGAAATGGGATAGCATGGGAGTGAAAATCGCTGGTCGGCAGTTACACTATCTTCGCTTTGGTGATGACATCGTCCTTATAACACCAAACATTGGCCAAGCGGAATGTATGTTTGACGACTTTGATAAAGCCTGTGAAAAGATTGGTCTTCGACTAAATCTCACAAAAACGATGTTCATGAAGAACAGAATGGTTTCGCACTCGCCATTCACGCTCAACGGAACGAATATCTTCGAATGATCCAGTTATATCTATTTAGGATGGGAAATCAATAGGATGAACGACCTAGTTCCAGAGCTGAGCAGAAGGAAACGAGAGGCTTGGGAAGCTTTCAAGAGTATCGAGGATGTAGTGAAGAGGACAAGAACAACCGACTCCGTGCCCACCTTTTCGACTCAACGGTACTTCCTGCCCTCACGTATGCATCAGAAACCTGGTCGCTGCATAAGCAGAATGAAAGATCAGTCAGCGTTGTCGAACACGCAGTCGAAAGAACGATGCTAGGAGCATCCCTTTCCACAGAAGTAAGGGATGTGATCCGAAGCTTCGATCTGCGTCGACGATCAAAAATCAAAGATGCGGTTCTGTACGCCAAACAGTCGAAGATAAGCTGGGCCGGACACGTAATACGAATGAATGACAACCGATGGACAAGAGCCGTTAGTGACTGGATTCTTCGGGATGTCAAGCCTACTGCAGAAAGACCACCAACCCGATAGTTAGAGTTCTTCACAAAGAGCCTTGAAGAAAGATATGATGCTCGACGAGTCTCTAGAGCGAACAGAACTCACTGTGTTACTCTTGCACGCGACAGGGAAAAATAGAGGATATACTGGCGCCCGCTCAAGTCACCTGACGATCAACGAGACTACAGTGTACAGTGTAAATATGTTAAGGCTAAAGGTTAAACAAAGTTTGTGTTCATTTTACGTGTATACATATATATAGGGCTGAGTTTTTGATATTCTCTAGGAAAGCTCATATCAGTGCTAAAGTAGTGGCGGCTTACATTGGCAAGTTTGGAAGGACTCAGTTACTAGATTATATGTTACAGAGAAATACAAATGCCACAAAGACGAAGAGAAATAGCCAAGTGTTCTGTTTGGAAAATCATGAGGAAAGTAGTGCAGGGGATTTCTGAATTGCATGTGCTTTTAAAATATTCGCCCTGTTTGGTAGGAAATATAGGCGATGAATTTGTGGTTGGTAGTTAATTGAGCGAAATTTAAGCAGCAGTACTATGAGGTATAAAAGTTGAAACGCTCAGTATTACACATTTTTTTCAGTATTACCCATCTTACCTTCGACTTGAGGGCTTGGCTAACATAAAACGCTGGATCGAATCAGTGTCCACGCCTTTCTTCCAAGCCATCTCTAACCAATACGCAACACCAGTCCCTATGAATGGCTAAATATTTGCTAAACTGTTTCGAATTTCACAATATTGACTTTTTATTTACTGCCCGCTGCAGTCTTTCAAGACAGGGTACTATGTTAAATGCAACCGCAATGATGCTGAGATATTCCCAAAACTTGGACCCTAGGCCAGATGGAACTACGATTAACCTTCCCGGCCGAGGGTTCCCGTGTTTCAAGCTGAGGTGAAAGTGAAAGCCTCAGTGATGCAGTGAGTAACACACGATACCCCGGAAAGGGTAATCTTGGGTCGATCTACTCTAGGGTCCAAGTTCTGCGAATTTCAGCATTATTATGGCTGTATTTTGAATTTATCAAGAACAGCATATACATATTTCGCCTACGACAACAGTAATTCAAGCTAGCCTGTAGTGATTGGTATTAACTAAATAAAGGTTATCAAAAAGCATGCAATTTCTATGTGCCTTTTTGATCAATGAGAATTTTCAGTTCTTATATATATAAGGGCGCGCGTAGCGCAGTGGTCGGAGGCGCCCTCACGTGGAATCGATCCGCCGCGTCCATGGGTCACCAAGCCTTCCATCCCTCCAAGGTCGGCAAAGTGGTAGTAGACTTGTCTGGGGATAGTAGCTCCCGCTCGATGCATCGGTAGGCCTCCGCGAGTTATTGTAAAGGCCAGATATGCATTCAATCACCTCCAAAAGATGATTAGTGAAGTCGAATGCACGGCGCATCCCTAAGGAATTGACCAACGCCAAGAAATTTTTTTAGGTTTTATATATATGTGCACTAAAATATTGTTTACCGTCTTTCGAGCTCCCACTTAAAATGATACCATTCCAGAAAGAGGAATTTTGGCGAAAATTACGTAATTTCAAAGTGTTCCGACCAAACTATGCCCATCGAGCACTGGTCGCAAATTCGGGAAGTGAATGGCGTGAAATTGCTGGTAAGGTTTAGATCTAGTATTCGCGAAGAGCCTACTGATGAAGAGCATGCAAATACTACAGCGTTGCTCATCTATTGCTCCTCGTTATCCTTTCCAACAAACCACTTCCTTCAATTTTCCTGACTCCTTCATTACTTGTCAGTAACTTACGACTGAACAGCTTTTGCAATCACGAGTACAACTCTCGATGTAGATATGACTCGTAACCTACAGAAACTCCTATTTCACGATTTTACGGGCAAGGTCGTTCTTACCAACGTTTTGGTTGGGCTGGTAAAAGTTTGCAGCTAACTTCGACTGCACTCATTTCACTGTGCGTGCCCTGCAAATTTGAAATGTCATTCCACAAACCAACATTTTTTAACCTGGGTATGACTAACCAACATGTATTCTCTTATTGATAAGCTAATTCGATAGTGATAAAGAGCTTTATCCGGCTAAAACGGGTGCGCGTAGTGCGATGGTTAGAGGCACCATGCAATACAGAGATCGAGATCGATGCGGCGCCTCGGGCTCAGCGAGACCTCCACTTCTCTGGAGTCGGCAAATCGGTACCAGACTTGTCTGGAAGAATAGCAGCATTAAGTTGATATATCGGTAAACCCTGCGAGTCATTGTAAAGGCCAGATAAGCATTCAATCACCCCCGACGATGCTTAATGAAGTCTAGTCCGTGGCGCGTCCCTTAGGGGTTGATCGACGCTGACAGCTTTACCTTTTTTCCTTTATTTATTCGGCTAACGTTTCGACGTCTTCGACCTTCTGAGAGCCGATGACCCGAGTCGATGTGCACAGTTCTTCGTGCTGTCGATGTGGTACCTTCGTCGTCATATCGTCAATGTCATCGTCATTGCTGAGCGCTATTGTTTTTCATTATAATGTAGACGCTTATGTAGCATTGGACTAGCACTAAAATTATAAAACATAGTCTCACTTTCATTTGGCACAAATTTCTTACAAACTGTAATAACTTTAGGGAATAGCTTATTCTCTCTGCTATTTCCATTCTCATCAAGTATCTCTTGTGTTTGCAAAACTCTGGACCGCAGGTGTCTATGTTGGGGAACGAACGCGCTATTGTCCTTCCCAGGGAATAACGCGTTCACCACCACGCCATGCGGGTTCTTTGTTTCGCCTGTCTCTCAGCTACTTCTATCGATTTTTGCCACAGCAATCACCCGTCAGCGGGATTGATCTCGGGCGCTCAAATCGGTATAGAACCCAGTTAGGCTGCGGCTGTAGTTGAAATCACAATGTCATACCTTTTTATTTTTTGCCTACTATAATTTCGCGGCAGGGTACTAAGCGAAATACAACCACATTGCTGAGATATTGCCACAGCAATCACCCGTCAGTAGCTGAGAGACAGGCGAAACAAAGAACCCGCATGGTGTGGTGGTGAACGCGTTGCTCCCCGGAAAAGACAATAGCGCGTTCGTTCCCCACCATAGACACCTGCGGTCCAGTGTTTTGCAAATATCTCAGCAACGTTGTGGTTGTATTTCGCTTAGTACCCTGCCGCGAAATTATAGTAGGCAGAAAATAAAAAGGTATAACATTATCTCTTGTGTTATTTCTGAAAAAAAGCCCTTTCAGTCTTTGTTTGGCCCACATTATATGATGAGACGCAGTATTAAGTTTACCTTGGTTATGATATAGCTTTTTAAACCCAAATGAGAGCATACAGCCCTACCCAAAAGAACTTCTTGCCACACATTCGTTAACGCTATTGTAATCTATATTTATAGAGCATGCTGGATACAAATTGTATTCAGTGGCATCCACAGAGTTTCGCGGCGATGTGTTCAAGCGGTCCGAGTTTGACCTCCGCATGAAGCACAAAAAGCAGGACGAAAGTATATTTGGGGTATGTGCTATAAAATTTCACAATTTATGAAAAGCAGCGAATTGTAGGCTTTCTACTCGATGCAACCATAATCTCACATGAAATTATGATGGGGTTTTTTTTCTAGATTATGATGTCCAACCATTGAAACTTTTTTGCCGTTTCGTGAATTGCTTCGAAAGATCCTAACCCATAATTGAAAAATCGGAAATAATTTTCTGTTATTGCTTACTCTGTAAGTGACTGAAGCCATGGAAAAACTGAAGCGAGCGAGCGACTATAAACGAGTCTAGTGGAATATTTAAGCCAATTAGCTTCTTTCTGCTAATCACATGTTCTAGCTTTTCCGCGATTTCCAGCTTGTCGTGCAGATCACGGGTTTGGATTCTTATGATGTGGAGCAAATCATATCTGCAGATCCAGAGGCAGAAGTGCGGTTGTCACTGCTTGGTCATGCGCTCCCCGCCATTACAGTTTTCAAGGTTTGTTCAGCTCCTCACAGAATTTTTAATCGCACTTATTTAACATGGAGTTGTAACTAACTAGTTTGCAGTTTGTTTACCTAATTCGTTTTTAAAGCTTATCCTAGTAAAATCCTAAACAAGGTTTCGTGTGGAATAAAAGTGCAACACGCCTTAATGGTATCCTGCGTCATCGTGAGTGGGAGTGGTGTTGAACTACTGCAGGGTGTTCATTCCTACAGTAACTTTACTCTGGGAGAAGGGTTACATATCCCCATTGGGAATAGTTGAGAAGCATCTATGACATATCATTTACCATCGATATTCTCATCAAAGAAGCAAAAATTGGTAACACATCAAGTGTTCTCTTCAAAAAGAGCCCACTAAGCAGCTCTGGTAGGCGGTGGAGAAGCGTTGAGTTTACACGCTTTATTGAAGAATGATAGACTTATGTATCAGACAGATGAAACCTAGAAGGATCGTTGACTATAACAGAGAACAAGCTCATTATCGAAATGTGATCCTACTTTAAAATCCAACTGTGATTCCGACAGTGATGGGGAAGTCAGAAGGACCACTGCCCATAAGAAAGCTCACAGAGATAAGTGCTGTGTGCTAAAAGGGTGGCGGACATCTCGATCTACTGGTAAAAGTCGAGCTACTTAACAAAGGAAAGCCCCTTTAAGGCACTACTGATAAACACCAGCTGACGAAAGATCCGTTACTATATCGTTACTTGCTGCACTAGCCATCCACTGTAGGTGGTCTGCTTGCTTCTCCAAATGATTCATAACTTTATTTCAGGGTTCAGCTGAACTGACAGGCCTTTTGTGGAACGCAGACGGACAAACATTCAAAGTTTTTGAGGTTTGATGAGCCAGTAATACTCATATTTTTGCTCATATTTCTGTTTTGAAGCAATTTAAGGCATTTTATGAGATAAACGGCTACATAAATTTAATTTGGGAAATTTTGAAAAAAGCAGCTTTAGGACTGTCTTTTTTGAGCCAATGCGGAGTTACGTTGAGAGTTTCGTGTCAAACATTTCAGTATTTTTTCCCGCTAATAACGCACAAGTGCATTTTCGGTAGATCATTGGAATTTTTTGTGTTCAAACTTTTCTCTCATTTTGAAAACTCAACATAAAACATAATCTATTAGGGTAATGTGATGGTACGCGAATTCGCAGTTTCGCTACCTCTTTTATCCGGCCTCACAGTCCAAGCGAATTCGGCTGGCGCCGTTTCGTTGAAGATGCTCACCTCTTCATCGGTTTCACTGTGGAATCAAGATTTGTCAGCTGGCTTCAAAACAAAGTATGGTTTTTTTTCTATTTTCACTTTGAAAGCGCATTCGCTTTTCTTCCTTGCTTACACAGAACTCAAAGTTGAACACAGTACCACTGGAATGAACTACCATCTACATAGAGAAGTGCAACCATGTTTTCTACAATCAAACGTCAATATAGAAAGGACAAGGAGATCATCTCGCAAACAGTAGGCTTCTCTTATAGAAAAGGATGAATTTGATACATCCTGAGGGTCATATACTATTGTTTTCTTCTCATGAAAAGTAAACTCGTCCAAACTGATATATATATATATATATATATATATATATATATATACCACAGGTATCTTGCTGTTCGCACTTGTAGATTAAAAACTAGCTGAGAGACAGGAAAAACGGAGAACCAGCTTGGTATGGTGGTGAAAGCGTTAGTCGTAAAGGGTAATAGGACGTTCGTTCCCACCGCAATCACCTTTGGTTCAGAGTTTTGCAAATATTTCAGTATCATTTTGATTGCACTTCCCATTTACTTTATTGATGGATTCTGGCCGAAGTGACTCCTAGGATACAATCCGCACAAACGAGAACACATGCACACACACATGCATGATTGCGTCCTCTTACATGCAGAAGATTAGTGTCATATCGGCGCACCAGAAAAAGAGAGTCCATTTTGGATCCACTTGCTCTTCAGAGAAGCATAGGGTCGCTGCAGATTCCTCACGGCAAGGATACAAGAAAGAAAATTCTTGGAAAATATAATACTAAAGCTCTTAGAGATAAATCGTTAGATACGCGCATTTTCTACTATTCGGTTGCTTTATAACAGTGAAACAACAGAATAAATTGGTTAGCCCAATGAAAAACCTAACATCGGCTTTTGATAATACATTAAAAAGACTCTGATGTTCGTTGAATTTGTTATTTGTTTATCTATCGTAAGGGCGCTTGTGGTGCAGTGATCGGATGCGCCCTGCAACTCACACGTGAAATCGATCCCCACACATGGTCCACCAAGCCCTTCATCCCGCCGAGATCGGCAGCTTGGTACCTGACTTGTCTGGGAATATAGCAGCACTGGCTCGATACATCGGTAGGTCATCGCGAGTCATTGTAAAGGCCAGATATGCATTCAATCACTTGGAACAATGCTTAATAAAGTCGAATAAATGGCGCATCCCTCAGGGATTGATTAACGCCGAGGGCTGTCCTTTATCTATCGTACATTTTCGTTGGGTCAAACCATCCTTTTACTTCAACATATTGCGATTACTTTTCCTTCATCAGAAAAGATTTTGTATTTCAAGGCAACAATTTAGTATCTCCGACGATGAGAGGAGAAAAGTGGCATATTTAGATGAATCGCAATGGAAACATAACTTAATTCACTAATAGTACCAATTCGGTGCCACGAATATTGAAAAAATATAAATCATTTGAAGGATTATCTTATTAACTGAAGTAAAATCTTTTCGCATTACAGATTTTAGGAGGGTTAAAGTTATTTATTCTTGAAGCATAAAATCCTGAACGTTTGGTAGCTGTGAACGAGCTCGAAAAGCGGTGTGTAGTGAATTGGCGAAAAGTTCGGCGAGTGTGGTGGCTAAGGCAGAGTTCAGTTAGCTTTCTGTAGCGCTGTTTGTGGAAAGTTAAGTCTTTCTTGCTGATCGAAGCTGGGTAAACATGGTACAATTCTGGATGCGTCTCAGCAATTCGTTCACAGGACTTCCCTATCATGACGTTTCGCTAGAATTTAAAAAGACGTAGCGGACTAAGCTGGCTACATTTTACCAATACATGATCGTAGTCTTCTCCTAGTAAATATTTGGCTTTGTAAAGCTTTGAAAGGATTTGGGAATTCCACCTCTGTTCAATCACTCTAACGAACGTCATCGGTTCTGGCACTGTCAACTTTACATCGGGTTCCACAAACGCGATCGGTAAAGAGTTTGCTTTCGTTGCATGAAATATAAAGAGGGAAACCAGATTTGAAGACGGCGCCTTTTTTCCTTTTGACCAGTTGTTGAGCCAACAACTTCTCTAACTTTTTTACCGTTGTATTTTTATTCGACTGCAAAACCACATAGTCGAGAATAGGCGTCCATTCGACAGCTCGTTTAATTCTAGGAGAATCAGCTCCGGTGGTTCTCAATAACTTTCGTTTGATCGTTGCCGACTTTTGATCCTAAGTAGCTACGTTCCCCATCAACATTTCTAGAACCTCTCGAAGCGGCACAACACTGTAAGTGCAAGTTATTAGCTCATGGGCCAAATGTGATGATTTTGTTTGCAGTTGTTTGCACTGCGTTGCTACTTCGAATTTAAATATGAAAACCCCCCAAATTTGCATTTATTTGCATAGCATCATTTCCATAGTCAGTAGGTTAATAAATTTCTGCAGTTTTCTTGGCATAGAATGCTTCGTGAAACATGGTCTTCCAAGTATGAAGTAGATCTCTTCAGCGTTTCAATGAGCCTTGGCGCAGGTGCTTCTTTACTCCATCATGGAAAAGTTGTACAAAAACTCAACTCTTATGTGGCTATGGTGACATCTATCGGATCGAAAGCAGAAGTTAGATTCGCGAGGGTTCCATTTGACGTTTGCATGACAATGCAAAACGGCGACACTCTTATCAGGTATTCCGTCTGTACACTTTATTTTCAGTTCAGCTGGTGCTTGAAGTTAGTAATTTCAAGATCCACTGTCTTTTGCAAACTTTTTTCAGTTCTGAAACAATTGACGAGACCATAAAGAAGCCTCGTAAGAAGCGGACACGATCACGAACAAACACACGTGCTGCGATTACGTTCAAGTTGGATGAAAACGCCACGAGGAAGTGCAACGCGTTGAGAAAAACCAGCTTAGATTCTTAAGCATATGCTGTTATGAATGTTTTTTCTTGTGTTAAATAAACTGTTACTTTTTTAAAGAATGTGCTCTAAAGTCTACTGGAAACAATGCAAGGGTAGAGCAGTGGTTTGTAAGACAAAAGCAACCATAATTGACCGAGATCCTACTAAATTAGGATGATTCTGGAGTAACGACGGTCTTTCTTGTCGTAATGATTTTTTCCAAACACTGCAATCAATGTCCACTTTCTGATATTATTTCAAACCATATGTCTTCTTGTCTTGCGCCTTTTGGCAGTTTTCTAAAATCATTTTTTCATAAGTTCAAGCCTGAACGTGCCATTGCGGATGCCACTCGAAATGTTTTTGAACCTTGAAGAGATCGGATATTAGCACAAAATGCGTTGACATTTCGAAAGGTTTTTCCGCAGAGGGTCTTACCTTTGGTGATAGAGAAAAAACTGAATAAGAACTGAAGAAGTAGAGGTTAGTATTTTTTTTCCTCACCTTCTCTTCACATCCGTAAAAGATTAATTCAAAGTTTGAACCATACTAAGTTAAAGTACGTGGAATGTGGAGATGGTTTCCATTTTTATATTAACTAAGTATTCAGTAACCTAAACTAAATCAACGACATCGCCCAAGTAGCTGGCATGGGGTATCAGACTAAACGGGCGAAAATCTTTCTTACGGAATTAGAATGCGTGAGCAACTACACTTCTGCTGCGAAACAGTGCCGTTCTTGGCTCTGTCACTGTAAGGAGCGCTTCCATGACAACTGCTGAACGTCTATCAACCGTCGACCAACCTATATCTACCATATCTAATAATCATACATATCTATATCTATCTATAATCATATCTTTCATGCTTATCAAGTACTGATTGCCTCGCTGATTATGACGATATCGATATCTCTTCATAATGCAGAAAATGAACCTAAGCAAAGTGTGGTTTATTTCATCGAACTTTGCCATAGCATCAAGCGAGTGACCAGCATTTTTGCAGAGAAATAATGGTATGCCGTCCATTTGCATAAAATTTTGCACTGTAGTACGATTTTTTTTCCCTCAAAGGCTCTAAAATAGTTCTATACTTAATCAGTTTTCAGACCGACTCATATTTCAACACTCCTCAAGGGTTAGTTAATTACTTCAAAAAATATATTAGTTTGGTAGTTATGGTGAAAAATGGCATTTTGTGGAAGTCTTTTTCTCGACTTTTGTCTCCTATTCAGATGCCTTAAAAGGATATTTAGTTCTTTACTCGAGTGTTTGGATGGCCCGTCTTCAGTAGTTGCACGGGCTCCACCATAATTTCCGTCTTTTTGGAGTTTTTCTGGCCTAGCCACTATGGTTCTCTCGAGTTCTGAGGTCAGCCTGGCCAAAGTCTGCCCCACGTCTTCACCACCACAGACGGTCGATGGTCTTTGTGGATCACAGGAAGATTGGCTACCATGCGACTAGTTTCATACCAAGACGGTGATAGATCTTCGTATTGGTTTACTCTTAGCTAGGCTTCCCGATGGAAACGCCTGACTCATTGGAGCTTGGAAGGCCCTGGGGGGTGGATGAATCCCTTTCTATACATCACAGCCCAACACCCAGAAACAGCTCCCAGCGTCAATGAGGCGGTAAACTGTTGGGAGGGTTAAGTTCTTTAGCGTATATTACGCTAGAAGGCATCATGAAAAGTGATGCTTTGTAATAGTGTTATTCTCAAGTTGTTTACAAAGGCTACGCTAGCTATTTAATTCTTGATTTATATACTGCTGTTTGTCTATATCTCTCAAATTACATCACTTTTTAATTTTTGCATATCAGCGTGAAGTGTAGTGGTTAGAGGCTCACTAGAATGCACATGCAGTCGTTCATCCGATTGCATGCTTCGGCTCGCCAAGCATTCCATCTCACCGGGTCGTGAAATTGGTAACAAACTTTTCTGAGAGGATGGAAGCATCAAGTTATTAATCGATGGTCCATCGCAAGCTATTATGTCGGCCAAATATTCATTCAATCACCTCTGACGATGCTTCTTAAAATTTAATGCACAACGCATTTCTCCGGGCATCAACGCTAAATGATTTATTCAATTGATCAAAACCAAATAATTTATTGCATGTTCTTTTTCCAATCTGAAAAAAACAATTACGTCAATGATGAAGTACGTGTGCTGAATGTTTTTAGGCCACCATTGCCTACAGGTGCCCAAAATGGCTATGACCCATATGGAGGTGGGTTCAAATCAACTTCTCAGGATGACGAGAGGGTAAAAGTTCTTCCGACTCAATGTATTATGTGGGCAGTGTTCAGTGCTTCAATATTTCGACTCCTTATTTTTAAAGGCGTGGGATGCAGCGTCAGTTGCTATTTGCCCATCTCAGAAATTTCTAGTCGTTATCGATGTCTTTTTATTTATGCGTTCTTATAAGCTGATTTTTTTGAGCTGATGCGAGGCTGGTATAGGTTTTCAATATCGTCGTTGTTGCTGTTGGTGTTGCTGCTCGATGGCTGACGTTTAGGCGATTTCGTCTTCTTCATAGCCTCAAACTTTGATAACTGAACCGAAGACCTACACCAACCTCGCACCGGCTCAAAAAGATCAGTTTATAAAATTGTATAAATAAATATATCAACTATTTATGCCGAGGTTTATAGACAGTCTGTCGAACGCTTCTAAAATAGAACGAGAAAATACTAAAGTATAATAGTACCAATACACAGCTTTACAAAGACGATTGTATCATACTTGGATACTTGAATACTTGATCGCCCGTCCTCACTATTTGCGCAGGCCTGAGAATAATCTCCAATTTTCGGAGTTTTGCTGGTTTAGCCACTGTGTTTTCCTGGAGTCATGAGGTCAGCCTGGCCAAAGGTGTGCCCCAGGTCGTCACCACTACAGGTAGTCGCTGCTCTTGTGGATGAGAGAGAGATTTGCCACCATGCGACTTGTTTGATACCAGAACGGTGGTGG